TTTCAGAGGAAGATTGTGGATGCGATCCTCGTGGCAGTGTTAACAATACATGTGATCCGTTCACCCGACAATGCCTCTGTAAGGTAAGCTACAAATAGTTACYAGAATATTTGCCTCAGTCACAGCCGGCATCCGGAAGTGACGTTGATAGGAATCATACTTAGTAGAAGCTATATAAGGGGCACACTGCAATAGCAGCAGTACAAACCTCAGTAAACCGGAACCCCCTCTAAACCGTGTCCAGCAGTGCCCGGTAGAGAGGGATTTCATTGAAGTCGATTTATTGAATCAAAACTTCATCAAATCAAGCAAAATTCATAAGAAGGTCTGTCAAGAGGAGCATGAAGTCTAGTTTTCAATACAGGCAAACGAAAACCCAAGGAGAAAGTAAAAGAAAAAGAAACACAACGAAACACAACGAATTTGACATAAACGTAAGCGCAACCATAAGCATAAGAAGAAAACAAAGAGAAACACGAAGGAATGAATTCAAGTGTATTGTTTAACATAAGCGCAATCATAAGCATGAAAAGAAAAATTAAGGGAATGATATAAAACATGAGAGTGTACAAAGTTAAGACAAATTAACAAACAGAGAAGAGTATAACCTTATAATGATTCGAAATGCTTTCTTTTCGCTTTTATACCGAATGTGAAACAGTCTAACAGAGTTCAGTTTCGTAATCCGAATCTCATATTTTGGAGTCACTGCAAAGTTCTCCATTCTGTTTAACTCAATATATTTAATTAGCATGGAAAACAATACATGTGAAATTCGGGGTCGTTTGAAAATAGTCTAAACATGGTATTTGGCCTCGTTGATGAGGTTTAGTTTAGATAACACTATRAAAGAAAAGTACATGTGGTGTTGATAACCTTTGACCAACACAAGAATGAAATCATCTGCGTGCCGAAACATTTTCAGTTACAGTAGATTAAGATCTCGGCATGCAGATATCCCGATATTGCGGACACTCACTATATCGGACGCCCATTATTCCGTGAAAGGGCTCTTAGTATATCGACCCAACGGACGGATTCTAGAGGTTGGTCGCTTTACCATGACCTCATCTTCTGCCAGAACTTTTCATTCATGCGATGATTTAGCCAATTCAAACTATACTGCTCTATATCGACCCCTTGGCCGGGGTGTAGAGGGTGGTCGCCTTACCATGACTCTTTCCCGTACTGTTCTTTTATGCGATGATAAAGGAGTTTGGACAATACTGGTCTATGCCGACCATATGTTCAAAGTCTAGAGGGTGGTCGTTTTACTATAACCCCATATATTGTCATCGTTCTGTCATGCGATGATTAACGGCTTTGACCGATAATGTCAGGCTAATGCCGCAAAATCTACTATTGCATGAAATACTATGGACTACATAGGAATGAAACCAGTCTTTATCAGATACAACAGCACCTTCCTGTCAATGATATGACCTCATTGTTATTCTAATTAATAGTTGGGAGAATTGATCACCAATCAATGATTAACTTCAATGTGCGGGGTCAATTCTCCTTACACAGAACTCACCTTTAGTTGTTCTTGAAATCTTGATTGTACTACGAGCGCGAGGCAAGATTCGCTTGTATTATTTTGGAACATGTATGGAGAGTTTATTTATTGCTTTGCAAACTTCTGGTTTATTTTGGTATTCGTTCTGAACAAGGTAAATATTATTTGATGTTACATGGCTGATAAAGAGCGCAAAGTTTTTCAATTGATTGACGCATGGTTCAGATTCACGATTCAGTTATTACTACCAGCACGCGTGGAGAATAAATTCACCACGAGTACTGTTCGCTTTTTAAACAGAATTTCTAAGTACTGCAGCAGTTACGCATTTACAAATATATATTACTTCGACTTGAATGAATAATGTTTTACTGGAAGTTGAAAAGTTCAGAGAAATTCGAATGTCGTGAAAGAAAGTTCTGCTGTCATCATCTGGAAATGTTTCAGCGATATAAAATCATTAAGATTGTTAGTGAATGTTTAGAGCTGTTAAACGCAGACTTTGTAATTCAAATTGTTTGCGGAATTTTGTTTTATTTTTATTTTCATGTATTCCGATGTTATCCGGCTTGTTTGTTTAAACAACATGACCTCTCTTAACCCGGTTTGCTGTCTACAGTCCTTGAAGTGCGCGTATCAATGCAGTCTTAAATTGTATTATTACTTCTCTAGTATTTTCGTAGTTGCCTTGTGACACAGCCAGAGATAATCCTAAAGAGTACTTCTSGTTCAAAGCGCTTTTGAATTGCTWYTACAATTGTCACTAAASAAGATCAAAAAGCGAACGTCAAACCTTCACTTGTTTTGCGACCTTTGTGTGTTTTGGACAACTCAAAACACAAAAGGATTACATTGAAACTCAAACATCAATTAAAACTTCAAAAAAAGCTTTTAATGAAGGTATTTATCCACTTCTATGTGACTTTGAAACCTAAACGCAAATGTTTTTGCTACTTCTATTGCAAGCTCATGAAATTTAGTAAGTGCTCATAAAGATTTAGCCTCAGTCTTTCGTCCGACGACGAATCTTACATGTGCAAATTTCACCGAGAGCTGTTTTGATAAAAAAGGGGAGATTTTTCAAATTATTCTGACTTGGAAATTTTATTTATTTATTGCGAGTCCGACTTCTGGCAAGTCCACTACAGGACCTCCTGAGGTAGGGCTCATATTGATGAAACATCCATTCAGCACAAAATGATTTGCACTACTGAGCATTTTCCAAAGAACTTCTTCGTTTTGTTAGCACGGAATCATTGTATTGCATTAAAAAATATCTTTAAAATAGATCAATAATTCTTGTTCAATATAAGGCTCAATAGATGGTATTAGTGTAGTAAATTGTTGTACTATCTCTGTGTGGTCCTAAGATAACCACTGATAAATCAATTTGGAGTTTATCGCAGGTGAGAAATTTCACATCTGGTAAAGAATTTAAAGTATTCGTGGATCGCTTTTAGGCGTTCCTATATCCGCCTAAGGATTTGTTTGTTTTGCTAAATTAGCATTAATATATGTGTTTTCTTCATATAATATTTTTTTTTCATCGAAATGTCATAGATTGAAGGCCGAAAAGTTGCTCACAAAATATTTTCCAATCAAGAGACATAGCTCAAACGTTGAATGTGACATGTGTCGAAGTTAATCAAATGCATGATTCTTTTCTTGAATCAGATAAACATAAGGCTACGTAGGATGATAATAATAAAGAAATAAAAATAAGTAAACACATAGAAAATTGCATCTGGTTTATAGCACCTGTGTGAGTTTTACAATTTATCAGACGTTTTTGACAAGTGTAATGGCACAACAGGAACTCAGTKAACGCATCGCTGAAATACACAGCGGGAAGTACATTTCCACAATGTAACGAACTATCGCCATAAAACACGCAATTATATAGAGGATATTACATGGGCTTGTGGARATACAGAGTTTATCTTCGAGTGTTGAAAAGCGAAGATAAAATTCGTATCTCCAAGCGACCATATATATTCTGTGTATAATGTAATAACATATGAAAGCAAATTATGTCGTAAAATAGCTTTTTTCTTACTTCCACTATATAGAGAAACCTCGAATGTGTTATTTTCACTAGTGAAAATATCAACTTTACGAAATGGAGAAATATAGGTTCATAGATAATTATATGATAAATAGAGGATATTACATGAGCTTGCAGAGATACGGAGTTTATCTTCGAGTGTTGAAAAGATCTCTCCTGAGGGAGCGTAGCAAACAATAACAATTTTTTGAAAGAGAGCAATATAGGTATTTCATAGACGATTATATGATAAGATACGTCTCGAAAACCTTTGTTACATAATACAAAAATATGAATATGACTTCTCCCGGAATTGCCTCCTTCTAAGCACTATAACTTTCTTTCATTTCTATATCGTAATACAAAAATAATTTTGCACAACGCAAATGGCTGGTAAAAACAGTTACAAATAAGGAAATAGCTTTTTTTGCATGCATTTTCATTTGATTTCGCATTTTTGTGACGAAGGCCCTCTGGGAAGTGTCTGTAACTAAATCGAAGTAATTTCGGATTACGACGTAAAATCGGAGGTCCCGTCTCTCTGCACTTCACTCACTAACCTGTATTAGAGGGACGTTAAAGAACCCACACCACTGTTCGCATAAGAGTAGGGAATGATTCCCGGTGTGTGTGGCTAGGCCTAACTACTAACCCATACTAATTACTAATCCCTCATGATTGTAAGCCGCGTGGCTGCCAATTGCGCCTTAAACAGCGGTCCGTGTGAAATGATCTATACATGTGAAGCGCCTGTGAACTCAGAGGATATCGGCGCTATATAAATACCACATATTATTATTATATTATTATATTATTACGAAACTGTACGAAATCGTTTACGAATTCCCGACGACTGAAATTTACGAGGAAAAATCGATTTGACCTTACCTTGTGCGTTCTCTTGTCTCAACTCAGCGACTTGTGCTTTCAACACTACAATTTGTTCAAACTATTTTGTCTCTAGAACTAGGCACAACTTTCTATTCTATGCATTTGCAGCCAAATTTGTATTTATAAAGAATATTTCGAATTTTGAGGCGTTCCTATCTAACCTCTTACGCCTGAGTCACATTCAGTTTTTTTAACGTATTATTGGTGCAAATACGTTACGTATGATTTCTCTATCATGTGAAAAGAAACACCCTTCTGAAAATGACTTCCACAGCCACTRGAAAAAATCGCGCGCTTTAAAGGTTGTAAATTTGATGTAAATATGATGTAAGTGTCCAAAATTCTGTAAATTTAATGGGAATCATTTACATCAAATTTACAGAATTTTGGACACTTACATCATATTTACATCAAATTTACAACCTTTAAAGCGCGCGTTTTTTTCCAGTGGCTAGCCACTGAAGTGTATATTTGTGCAATTCGCATTCTTGCCTCTTTGGAATCTCTTTGTGAAGATGGAATGACTGGTAAGTCTGGTAATGACTCCAAAGTCAGTAGCCCTTCCTCATTTTCTCTTAGTGCTTCGTTTGACTTTTTGTCGTAGCACAGGAATTATTTAGCACAGGAAG